GGAAATCGGATATAGCCAAATTACAGGTTCAATTGAGATTATAGTGACAGGTAAGATAAGTAACAAACAGCTCGAGAAAGTCCTCAGCTCTCAGTTTAAGAGTTCAGACTTTTTCAAAGGACATTCAGCCCCATACGAGGCGTCTACAATAAGGGGGGGGGGGGGGGGGTACCCAAACTACTTAGAGGCACCTTCAGTTTCACAAGGAGAAAGGACAGACTGACAGGGGCAGGCGAGGCCTGGCGGGGTCGGGGTGGGGGTCGGGGGGAGGAGGGGGAGGCCAGGGATGGGGGTGGTGCAGACCCACAAGGGCCTTAACATAAACCCATTTCTCCTCTCCCTCGGGCTGGGCTGAGCGTGAGGCTGTGCTTGTCCCAGGATGGAAGGATGCAGGGCCGAGGGAGAGGCATGGACAGGGTGGGCAGATGCTGACCGGGGGGTGAGAAAACGCCCACAGTAGCTGAGGGCCCGGACAGAAAGGGAGGGGGGGCGGTGGGGGGGGGGGGTGGGAGGGTGGTGGTTAGAGGGAAAGAAACCGGCCAGCCCCTCCCAGACCACCCTCCTCGCCCTCAGAAATGGAATGGACGCGCAGCCAGGGGCGTGCAGGGCCCGATTCAGGCCACGCTGGCAAGTGGGAGCCCCCTCAACCCCCCTGCGGCGGTGCCTGGAAGGGCCGAGCGGGGTTGGGCCTCTGGGCCTTTGGAAGGCGGGCGGGCGGGCGAGAAGAGGGCGCACGGTGTCAGCCGTTCCTCTAGGTGGCAGGTGGCCAGCGGCCCTCCCTCCGACCCCCAGCAGGTCCCCAGTCTCAGTCCCGGGACACAGGGGCCGCTTCGGGTAGAAGCACCCCAACCCTTAATAAGAAGCTGTTATTCTACACAGGCCGGGGCCCCCAGTCCACATCGTGCCCAGCCATGTGGGAAGGTCTGGTCACCCCCTTCCCAATGAACACACCTCCTGAGGCCCGGGGAGAACAAGAACTTGCGGCCAGAATTCGGCCTTACCCCCTGCTGGCCACTCTGAGCAAAGGGTGTGTGTGTGTGTGTGTGTGTGTGGTGGGGACTGCAGGGACTAGAGTACCCACTCCGGACCCTGACATGTCGCCCCTTAAATGTGCGCAGGCTGGCCTGGCCTCGCCCCCTGTGCACTCAGGTTCCACCCCCTCCCCCCAGCCTGGGGAGACGCCCCCAAGTGGCCTGCGCACTCCCCAACCCGGAAACTTCGATGGGAAGGTGGTCCAATACCCCCCCTTAGTGGGTGCAGGGCCCCGAGCTGCAGGGTGGGGGGGGGAAGGTCACCCCTTGCACCCCGTCTGTTTGCTCACCCCAAATAGTGCCCGGAGGAAAAACCACGTGCCCATCACATAGAAGGGAGGGAGGAGGAAGCCGATGGAATGTTGACATTGAAATATTCAAGTGGACGCACAGATCCTTCCAGAAATGCGTGTTTCCATGCCTACCAGGCCCATGAGATAATGCGCATGCTGGTGCCGGGGCTGGGCTGTGCAGGTTCAGAGGCGGATTATATACCCCTGCGCATCGGGGCCTCCCAGGCAATGCTGTCCCCGCTGCCTGAAAAAAAATAGGAAGGATAGCCCAGGTCCTGCTGAAGGAAACCTACCTGGCTGGGCGCAGCCTCCAGGAGTAACTCTGCGTTTTATTTTTTATTTATTTTCCCTTTTTCTTGGCTGGGGATTTGCGGGAAGAGTGGCCCAACAAGTCGCAGCTATTGGGGAAAGATCTAGAGCCTCAAATCAAAAAAATAAAAAGAAAAGAAAAAAAAAGAGAAACCACAGGCCCATGCAAACCCGTTCCTGCCTTTTACAATTCCTTCCTGAGCGCGCGATGCGCACGCACATACCCGGTTTACTGGTGTCTGGGGAAAGGTTAAGCGGCGCCCAGGGCCTGGCTCGGGAGAAAACGCGCTCTAAAAACACAGACACGGTATTTGGTTTGATCTGTTGCAAAAAAAAAAAAATGTATTTGATTACTTGAGTAAAATTACAGTATCTCTGTTGTTAGTACGTATTAAATGTTAAAGAAATTGGACCCCCCACCCCTTTCCTTTCAACTTTCCAAGAAAGTGCATGTAACAGTCCAACGGTTCCTTCCAGACCGAACGCAAAATAAACCGACACGAGGCCTGCGCTCTCGACCAAGAAGCAGCCACTTGCTCGCGTGAGGACACATATGTACATTTTAATGAACGTGACAGTTCTCACTGTATTCACAAGAGCATCTACGGTTTCTCCATCGAAGGCTGTTTCAAGACGCTATACGTAGCAGCAGCATTGGGAAATTCCAGCACGTTTGCTATGGTGAAGAGATACCTACAAGGCAAAAAATGTTACGTCTCAGTTCCCACTACCAAAACAACACTTGCATTTTCTCTAGAGAATTCGGCGTGCTCCTTATTGTACAGAAACCTATGAACATCGGGGACGACTCAAGTAAAAAGCACAATACAAGAGCAGTTCAGAACGGAAATGGTTAAATCTACAAAAAAAAAAAAACAACCAAAAAAAAAAAAAAACAACAGGTTGAATTTTAGGATAAAAATTTAAAATAAAAAAAGGCAAAACAAACAAAAACCCCAAACCAAAAAAAAAAAAAAAGAAAAGAAAAAAAAAACCCCAAACCTTTCAAAAGAACCACACTGTTCAGTCTGTACGTCTTTAGTCCTTTTCCTTAATTCTGTTTTTTTCGGAAGATGAGACAATGCAGTTTGCTGAGAAAATGCTCCAGCAGGATCAAAGTGTACATGTATATACAGACTTTATTAGAGATCTAATGCATCGCGGGGGCATGGCGCCCACACCGGATTCGTATTAAACTGGATATAGAAAATAAGTTAATGCCAGATTAAGACCGCCGAGCAGGGCAACTTTGCAATTGCCATAAATGTTACAGCAAGTTTACAGCACTCTAGTCAATTAGTATTTAGTCCCAAATACAGAAGACCAAAGTTAACGCTTGCATTCTGTCTGCAGAGCCGGGTTATATCACTAATAAATAAGCTTTCTGAGAACTCTAGAAGTGGAACAAGGTACAAAAGACTGTCTTCGTCGCGGGGAAGTAGTTCAGCGGTCTGGGGGGGGGACCCGAGAGGAGGGGGGGCCAGGGGGCGAGGAGGAGGCATGAGCGGGCAGAGGCTGGGGCCTCCAGCCGGCGTCCTCGCTTTAACTGGTGACGATCTCCTTGCTGTCCTCCAGGAAGCGGGTGAGCCGGAAGCTGGCGGCGGCGTTCTCGCTGCTGGCCATCTTCTCCAGGCCGGCCAGGGGCGCGCTGGGCTCGGAGTTGGGGAGCTTCTCCAGGTTGCCCGTCAGCCCGCTGATGGGCGAGCTGCTCCCGCTGCCCAGGCTGCCGGGGATGGGAGGGACGCCGCCGTTCTGGATGACGGAGATCTCGTTGGCCTTCATGGCCAGCCCGTTGGAGAGCGCCGCCGCGTACTGGTTCCAGAAACTGGAAGGATCGCCGCTGCCCGACCGGGCCGCCAGGTCCTTCTGGAACATTTCGGGGAACTTGACGGGATTGCCTCCGAGGAATGTCATGGGGCCGTCCACGGAGAGCCGCCGGCCCCGCCGCGCGGGGGTGCTGTTCCACATGTGGGTGCCCATGTGGACCTGCGAGGAGAGAGCGAGAGGGAAAAAGAAAAAAAGAGAGAAAGGAAGGGAGACGCTTAGTAGCTGAATCGGTTGCCACTCCCACCCCAACAACACTCAGCAAAGCCAGTGGCCGAAATGTCCGTTCTTATTACGTGCCAGACGGTGGACGAGGTAACGGGACCGTCCACTCCGGAGACCGGTAATAACCCGTTTGCTCCCTGCGGCCGGGGCCGCCTCTCCTGTTCCCGGGCAAACGTGCCTTCCTTACTCCGTTTTTATTGCCCCTATTTCGCTTATAATGGCCTCCCGCGAGCCAGGCGGTCACGGATAGCGCCGTCCAGGGTGAGAATTGTTATGTCCACTCTCATTGCAACGGTCAGGATTGTCTCTGACACCCTTTCCCCTAGAAACGTCCTTTTCAGAGGGGGAGAGAGTAGCCCCCGCTGACGGAGGGCCCCGTGCACAGAGAGAAAACGCCAGAAAGTCATTATTCCTCCGGCACGGCTGGCAGCGATCTCTAGCATGCTCAACTGTTGCTCTAGATTCATGCAAGCATATCTGCCTGATTGCCAACACCTATCAGTAGGAAGTGTTGCCTCATCGATTATCATAATGCCCGCGAGCGGAGGGCTGACGCCACTGCGCCTGGAAAAACAAACCTGCACGGTTATGAGCAGGAGATGCACGGGCCGAGGAGAGCTGCAATTATTAAGCGATCGGAGCAGCCCACAGGCCCGGTGGAGGCTTTAATCAATACCCCATGGCAACCGGGCTGTCTTCCCCGGTAGGTGAAGCCATTCATTTGGTGCACTTAACGAGACAAGGGAGGCGGGCCGCTGTTTCGCTCAGGTACCAAATGATTCGATGCACGCCGACCCTCCGCCAGCTGCAGCCCATCCTGGTCCCTGCCATGAGCCCCACCCGCACAGCCACCACTTCCCCAGGAGCCGCCACATGCGTGCAGCGGGCTCCCCGGAGGGCGGGCCCTGTCCCCCCCGGGGGTCTGGGCTGCTGACCCGGGGAGCATGCATTACAGACATCGACGGGCCGCCCGGGAGAGGCCTGAGGGGTGGCCGGGGGAGGTGCCGGCGGGCGGAGGTACCTTCAGATTGCCTTTTGTCGTGAACGCTCTTCCGCAGATAGTACACGCGAAGGGCTTCTCCCCGGTGTGAGTCCGCTCGTGGATCTGTAGGGCGCTGGACGAGGAGAAGGTCTTGCCGCACGTGTTGCAGTAGTGTTGCTTGGGAGTTCTCCGGGGCAGGGCCGGCAGCAGCACCGGGGACGTGGCGGAGGGCCCGGGGGGGACGTGGCCGGCAGGGGGGTCCTTACTGTCCTGAGGAGGGACGTGCATGAAGCCGTTGACCTCGGTTTTGATGAGCGACGACAAGGGGTTGGCGGGGGGCATCGCCGCCGCCGGGCTCTGACCGGGGCCGAGGCTGGAGCTGGGCTCGAAGAGCTGGGAGGGGAGGTCGCGCATCTGGTGGGTCAGCATGTGCTGCTTCAGGTTGCCCTTGGTGGAGAAGCCGCGGCTGCAGACTGTGCAAATGAAGGGTCTCTCTTTGGTATGACTCCGGTAGTGAATGTCCAAGGCACTCTGACAAGCGAACGTTTTGCCACAAATGTCGCAAGCCGTGTTCTTAAACTTCCCCCGGTCCCTGAACGGGAAGAGGAACCCCAGAGAATCTTCCTTGATGATTTTCTCCGCGTGGCTCGAGGTCAAGTCCAGGGCCCCGCCGTTCACGGGGGCGGGAGACAGGCCGTTGGCGAACTCGCCGGGGACCGCCCTCGGGGGCTTCTCGTCGGCGCCGCCGGGCGACTTGTGGGAGTCCTGGGCGCCGCTGGAGGGGGACAGAGCCTGCATGGACGAGGTGGACTCGGACATGGCCGGGCTGCCCGCGCTCTGGCTCTCCACGTCGCCCCCCACCGAGGACGAGTCGTTGGTCAGGACGTCCCCCTCGACCGACCCGTTCTCCACGGCCTTGAGGCTGGCCTGCAGCTGCTCGGCCAGGCCGGCGTTGATCATCTTCATCTGGTTCTCCAGGGCCGCGATGCTGGACACCTCCAGGGGCAGCGGCGAGGACGACAGGCTGTCCTGGGAGGCGTCCGCCGACCGGGGCGTGTCGGGGATGCTGCCGTCGGGACCGTCGTCCATGTTCTCATCGGAGAAGTTGTCCACGTCGTCGAAGTTCTTCTCGTCGAAGGAGCCGGTGTCGGAGCCCATGGACTCGGGGTAGCCGTCGGGCACGGGCGTGTTGGGGATCTGGCCGCCCATGTGCATGCGGATGTGCTGCTGCAGGACCACGGCGTTGGTGAACTTCTTCTGGCAGATGGGGCAGGAGTGCTGCACGCGCAGCGGGGGCATGGCGCGGTGCACGCTGTAGTGGGTCTTGAGGTTGCCCTTGGTGGTGAAGGCGCGCCCGCAGACCTTGCACTTGAAGGGCCGCTCCCCGGTGTGCGTGCGGTAGTGCATCTTCAGGGCGCTCTGGCAGCTCAGCACCCGGTGGCAGAGGACACACTCGTTGGGGTCCGCGGCCTTCTTGTCGATGTTCTCCACCAGCTGCTGCAGCTTGGACGTCTCCGAGGCCGGCGTGGAGTCCAGGAGGCCCCCGAACGGGAACTTGGCCTTGAACTGCTCGGACATGAGCGGCAGCAGAGGGTTGGTGAAGGCGGCGGCGGCGGCGCCGGGCGGGCCGTTGTCCGCCGCCGTCGGGGAGCTCAGGGCGCCGCTGCCCGCCGCTGGGCCGGAGCCGGCGACCACGCCGCTCTCTTCGCTTTGGCCACCGGAGGGTGGCACCGCGGACCCCTCGGCTTCCTCCCCCGGGAGCCCACCCGGGTTTCTCGGGGCGGGCTCGGGGCCCCCGGAGTCGCTTTTGACAGAGCCCGGGGGGCTGGCGGAGGAGCGGCTGATGGGGATGGGGGCCGGCTCCTCGGTCTTGATGAAGGGGGTGAGGCTGGGGAGGGTGGGGGGCAGCGGCAGGCCCACCGACGTGGTGAGGGTGGGCAGGACGGGCTTGGTGTCCAGCCAGCTGGTGACGGGCTTCTCGGGGGGGATGGACATGCCGTAGGGGATGCCGGTGCTGGTGGGGATGTTGTCCAGGTGCTCGGGCACGGGGTAGGGGTTCATCTGGATGTGGGGGTACTTCTCCTTGTGGCGCTGGAAGTGCACCTTGAGGTTGCCCTTGGTGGAGAACCTGTTCCCGCAGATGTTGCACTTGAAGGGCCGCTCGCCCGTGTGGGAGCGCAGGTGGATCTGCAGGGCGCTGTCGCTGCCGAAGACCTTGGCGCAGAACCTGCACTTGTGCTTGAAGAACGCCTCGTCGGACGCGCTCTTGGCCTCGAAGGCCGCGACGGCGGGCGGCTTGCTCTTCCTCTGCTGGGCCAAGGCCGACAAGGGGTTCAGGTCCTCGGCGGTCGTGCCCACGCTGGGCAAAGGGCTGGGGAACACCGCGCTGGCGGGGGCCGGCTGAGGTAGAAGTGGGTTGGACGCAGGGCTGAGCAAGCTGCTTATGGCGAACGCTGGTGAGGAGGCCGCCGCCGAGACCCCCGCGGGGCTGCCGGCCTGGGAGGCGCCGGCGCCCGGAGCCGCCCGGTCCGCGGACGGGGTGGTCACCGCCGTGGCCAAGATGCTCACGTGGGGAGAAGCGCCGCCGTGGGGGGGGACGATGGTGTGGCCAGAGCCGCTCTGAGGTAGCTGGGCCGGGGGCAGCTGCTTCAGGCCGCCGATGCTGGCCGACTGGCTGGCCAGGCTCTGGGCTAACCCGGCGGCGGCCGCCAGCTGCTGAGACAAATGGGAGCTCAGCGTGGACAAGGGGTTGGCAGATGTTCGCAAAGGACCTTGGGAGGGACTGGACGCGGGCAGGTCGGCGTTCTGCGAGGCCAGCAGCAGGATCTGGTGGCGGATCTGCTCGATCAGCTGCAGCTGGTGGATCTGCTGCTGCTGCAGCGCCAGGAGCTGCTCCATGAGGGCGGGCACGGCCGGCTTGCCCCCCGCCGCCCCCCCGCCCCGCGCCTCCTGGGAGAACTGGGCCACGGCCACCTTGGTGCTCTGCAGGTTCTCGATGATGACGTTGCTGTTGATGACGGAGAAGCCGCCCAGCGCCGCCAGGTCCCCGGGTTGAGGTAGAGAGGTTGTGATCGCTGAGGTACCCGTGGAGGAGCTGCCGGAGCAGCCGGGGCTGGCGCCGGAGTGGCTGCTGCCACCAGATGGGCCGCCGCCACCCTTGTCGGCCCCCGGGGCCTCCACCTCCATGGACCCGTCCCCGTCCGGCCCGCGGGGTTCCGGGAGCTCGCCGCCGTCCCCTCGATCGGTTTTGCTAGGCGTGTCATTCACGTGTTCCCCGGGGTTCTCGGGCGGGGGGCTGGGGGAGAAGGTGTCGGGTGGGGAGGCGGGGCTCTCCGTGACGATTAGCACGAGCTGGTTCTTGGTGCAGCTCTTCTTGTGGAGCAGGAGGTCCGACAGCTCGAAGAACTCGGCGCAGCACCGGCCGCACACGTGGGCGTCCTTGCTCTTGGCGGGGCGATGGGGCTGTCCCTTCTCCGCGTGTCCTGCCAACATCAAGAGGAGCAGCGTTAGGAAGGAAGCCGGGGCACCGTCCCCCCGTGACCCCAAACCCCAGACAGAGGTGGCCGGTCCATCGCGGGCGACCTGCGGAGCTCGAAACCGTGGCCCCTGGAAAAAAACCCAGCCGCCAGGACCCAAGGACGTCCGTGCGGCGCAGTAAGGATGTCGGAGGCGTCCCTATCCACCTGGTACCTCCGAGAGCCACGGCCTTCAGACAATCCATCAAAACGTAAGCTACGATGGACCGAAGACAGGGTGTCCGACGCCGTTCCATAGCGAGACATCGATCTCCAATACTTCATACGCCGCACCGTCCGCTCATCCAGAGAGGGCCCCGCGGCCGCTCGCTCGGAGGACTTATTAGGCCCCGGCGCTCCTGTCAACCTTATTCCCTTTCACCCGGTGCCAGGATACCTGTGACAGTTGGTTCTGTCACTAAACTCATTTGTAGCCATTCGGGCTCCAATCAGCGGTTGACAAGGAGACAAGCAATGCCTAGCACCCCCCCGCCGCCGACTGACAACCTGGACATCGCCTGCCCGCCCCCGCCCAGAGCCCCAGCTCAGCCAGATCCGTGACACACGCACACTGTGGTCGCACCCACAACAAATCCCCCACGCAACCGGATACAAAAGAGAAAGCAAAACACGCGCACACACGCAATGAAGAGAAGCACCATGACCGTAACCCGCGACAAGGCCCGCCTGGCATCTGCGTGTCACCCCGTGGCACGTTTTGTTTTAAAATTAAAGCAAGGACTATCCATCACGGGGCTCCACGGGGCCGCGTGGTGCCTCTAAAATATGTCACCCAAAGGGCTCTCCCTATCTCTGCAGCTGGTGGAGATTTACATTTCTGATTAAACATCAACTTCAAGAAAGATGTGCCTGGAAGGGGGGCGGGGAGAAACAATTCCCCGGTTTTTAAGAGTTTGGAAACGCTTCGCCTCTCTCCTGGTCTGAATGCTTTGGGAAACACACACACACACACACACACACACACACAACAACCCAGTTTGCAATTCACTGTCACCAATTGTTGAACAGACTGTCCCGGACCTTTCGGTATCAAAAAAAAAATCCCCTTTATTTCATGTCTGTTTCCACCGGGTTGCTCAGATTTCTTCTCACTCAGACCCATTTGTAAATTCAACATACAACTCTCCAAACGGCAGGCTCCTCTCCTATTCACAGGCAGGCCGGCTCCCATTGTTCCCCGGCTCGGGGAACACCAACTTCTGCTGTACAAATGGTGTGTGGCCATCCCCGGGGGCCGGGGGAAAAACTGTTTAATTCAAGGATTACCTCCCTGCATGCTTTTCTGCAGGACGGAGTCAGATAATAGTCAGTTTCCATGACTTCCAAATTGAATCTCCCAGAAAACTTGCAGGGGCCCAGAGAGAGAGAGAGAGAGAGAGGCTAATTGTGAATCTGAATAAATGCAAAATCAAAATGCTGCTTTTTCAGGAACCTTAAGAGTCAACTCCAAAGAGCCAGCCGTTTGCCTTTTTTTGTAGTGAACATCCAAAAAAAAACAAAACTCGAGCTGTCAGGCATTCCAGAAAATATAATTAATACCTAAATACTAACTAAACTTCGAAAACGCCCGGAGTCTATTTGCCCTCAGCGCTGCGGAGTTGGTCAGAAGCCCTGCTCAGGGGAAGCCAAATGTGTGCGCACTTTTCTTCCCGGCGAGTGTTATTTGAGGAGCGGAGTTACACTTAACAGGCTGGCTTTCCTAATTCCCATCTTTTCATCTCCACGAGGGCAGGGTGCAAAACGCGTTCACAATACCCAGCGAATCTCAGTGGTGCAGGGAGCACCAACAACGGCTCTGTTTTAATTTAATGTCTAATCATCCTAATTGGCCCCCGGATTCCTGTGCACATTCGAGGTGCCGTTTTAAGCAGTTTCTGTCTCTCTCTCTCTCTCTCTCTCTCTCTCTCTCTCTCTCTCCCTCCCTGCCTTAAAATAATGTAAACAAGATATTACACGAATTTTTGCTCAAGTTATGTGGCTTAAACTTGGGACAAAAATAATGTGACAAAAAGATTCTTAGTATTTTGACAACCAGTTTTAAAGGATGCATCCATTTCGGATGCTTATTTTAAACGAGGAAATGCAGCTCCTAATATATTCAACAGAAATGTTATTTCCTCCTCTTTGCACATTTCCATATGTAATGGTTATGTTTCCATCTACTTTTACTGCCAATTATGAAGGAACAAAAGCTATTCTGTTTGTTCACACATTTTCGACAAAATGCATTAAAACTATTATGTCAGCATGTTCTATTAAGCTCTGCATTCAGTGGAAAATACTTTTCAACCAGCTCACATTTATCAAAACATAAAGCCACTTTAAAACACAGTTTTGCTTGGTCAGCTGGGCTTAGACAAATAATGACAGATTCAGAACTAAATAACTAGCCAGGGGAATCAGAAAACTGACTTCACCAATTGTACACATTACAATGTCGTTGCTTCAAATATTTAGCACATCTGTGGCTCACGACGAAAGGGCATTTTTAATTCTCGGTAACTTGCAAACATCTGATATTCTCATACTATCCGAGAGAAAATAAAAAAGAAGGTTACTTTACAGGACTTAGCCGGTGATTACTTGCTTTCCTGGGCTCAAGTTCTGCACTGGCGCTGCCGTGAGATTCACTTGAGGATTTTCAAGTTTCTCAACCTGCACAGTTTTGTATTTAAGATGGTGCTAAACTGCACGGAAAATAGAGCTGCTTAAAATAAATGCCTGCTGGCTGGTAAGAAAGGGGCCCGTGTTAAAGAGCTGCTCAGACTTTAGCTTCGATTTTCGCAACATTTTAATAAGCTGACATTTGATCTCACTTGGAGAGGCAACTAATTTAATTTCCTGATGTTTATGAACACCAAAAAGAAAAAAAAAAAACCACCCAAAAAACAATTTCTGGTATCTATTTTGATTTATTTCAAAAGCAGGTGTCGCTACACTGTAATAGTTCTTAACTTTAAATCTATCTGCATTCTGAACACAGTTCCAATGAAACAGCTTTAAAAAAAAAAAAAAGATAAAACACCAGGACTAGCTTGAATCTTGAACTACTAAAGGGAATAGTTTAAGTCGAAATAAGATACACGCGTGCACACACGAGCACACACACACACAGGCAAACTAACACGTTCTAATTCATTTTTCCAACTGTCTACTACCTTGTATCTCTGAATAATCTGTGACAGGATTCCAACTGGTGACCCCATTAGAGTAAATACAGTTGCCTTGTTCCCTGTGCTGTGGTGAAAATGACATGCCGGCCCCTTTGCTATGGATTTTGCATGCAAATTAATCTAATTTTGTAATCCTGGTCAGACAGGAAGATTTAAGGAGGAGTGTTTTTTTAAGTATTGACACACAAAAAGATATTTGGAATTTCTGGGGTTTTTTGGGTGGGGGGGTTGGGGTGGGGGGGGGAGAGGAAGGGTGAACTTACAGCTCCATCCAGTTTCTACTAAAATCCCAAATGTTTTTTCTTGTTACACTACTTAGGGACTTGGTGCCCAATTCAAATTTGTCAGTTTTCCCTCATCTGAACCAAACACGGCAGAACAGCAGGCAGAAAATCGAGGTGTCCCAGGATCTCTGTCTACCGAGAAAACAAAAATAAAACTGCCCCACACAGAAAGGGCTAGCCAATCAGGGGGAAAAAACAAAACAAAACAAAAAAACAAAACTCAAACCAAAACAACACAGCCTTCGGCCAGGCTTGGTCTTCTTCTGGGAGCCCCCCAGAAAGCACCTCCCCTGCCTTCCCCTGACCTTCAGATCACATCCCCATTTTTAACAGACCCTCTCGTGGCCGTGATTGGGGAGCCTAGAATCCTAACCGGCTCTTCCTATTTCCTGGGCCAATCGCAGACATTTCTGATTGATTGGTCTTTTTCTTTTCTTTTTTTTTAATTGTTGGCACAGACCTGGGAAAAGCCTGAATGTCCAGCTGAAAATTCCCAAGAAACCGTCAACACCAGCACATGGGCTGTGTGTGTATTTTCGGTCGCGTCTTAAGTTTCCCCTCTGTGACGGGAGACCAGAGACACACATTTCCTGGCACCTTCCAAGTTTCCTGGGTGTTCTGCCCCGGACCAGTGTCGCCTTGCGTGGAAGAATACAAGTGAAATCTTTGGGGGGCGGGGGGGTGGGGTGGGGGGGAAGCAACAAGAAGCTCCTTTTAAAAATCGGGATCGGAGCCCACGAAAGGCACCCGGGAGTGGCAAGGGGGGAAATGCGGTCCTCGTGGCTGAATCAAACTGAACACTAGATGGGGTTCCAGTTGCGAGGGTTTGTTCAGCAACTTCTTTGTGGGTTAGCTCTTCCAGTGACGCGGAAAAGAGAGACTCCTTAAGGCGAGAGATCTAAACTTTGGCTACGTAAACATTGGCAGAGGCACCAGAAACTGAATCCCTGTTGTGTGAGGGCAAAAAAACGGAGCGATGGGGACTGCCTGTCAATCTTCCCCTTTGGGGGTCTGGCATCCGAGGGCGGCCCGGGGGAATGAGGTTAGGAAAAGAAGCCAAGCTGATAAGGTGAAACTAAAATAAACGACCCACTTCCTGCTAAGTGACCAGCAAGGCTCAATTTGGGGGTCACGGGGAAGATCCTGAAGGACATATTATGGTCTGGACCTCGTCACCTCTGCCTGGGAGGGGGCCGCTAAGGTTAAAACAGCCCGGACACGTCTAGGTTTTCTCAAGCCTGGCCCGCAAAGGCAGTCCTGCTGTGGGGGAGGAGGGGTGGTGGTGTGGCAGGAGCATGGACCACCTCCTTGCTAGCTAACCTGCTCAATGGCTTCAGCTTGGGCGCTCTAAGAAGACGCCCGGAGAAGCGGCCAGCTAGCTGCTCCAGGGGATGTCTTAGAAAAACCGAGTCAGGAATTGCAGGAGGAGTTTGGTTCTGGCTACCACACAGAGCTTGGCTTCTAACAATTCCAAAAAAACGGAGGGGATGACTCATCTACCAATTTCTTCCCCAGGTTCCCAGGAAGGTTTCCACATAAAAAAAAAAAAAAAAAACCCACACAAAACAAAAACAACAACAAAAAAACCCACAGGTAGGTGTCTGCCTTCGAAAGGACTGTTGGTGCAGACATGGAAAGAAATGGAATGAAGTCCCCCAAGCATGACCCATCTATTGGCCTATAGACTATAGGAGGCACTGGATATAAAATAAACCCCCCCAAAACATTCAGCATCACAAAACTCACTGTCACACACACCGGCTCTCAGGCCTTTGCTTTCAGGCCTTTGCCGGTGTGTTTGTCTTTAACATTTTAGGGAGTCTGTGCCGCCCCCTCCCCAGAAGCCAATCTCCCCCCCCCCAAACAGTTTGCATTTCCTCACCCAGCATCTCCCATTATGCGACCAACTTAAAAACAGGCCCGATGAGACATAAATTCTTTGGCAACTGCCTTATCTTGCAGGTGTTGGTTTGTTTTTTGTTGTTTTTTTTTTTTAAAACCACACCAATTCATTACGGCTCTCTCTAACCTTCTGGGCCCAGAAATCAATGAGCAGCCATTAAGCTGCTCAGGATGAGGAAATTACTTTGGTAAATAATAGAATTTCATTATTAATACAAATAGGAGGATTTTTATGCGACTTTACATGACAGTCAATGTTTTATCTGCGGTTCATGATGCTTTTTATCTTTCTTCCAATGTTATCTCTTCCTTGGGGGAAAAAAAACAACAAACAAAAAAAAAACCTCTGAGCACCAAAATTCTTTCTTACTAAATGAATGGAGTAGGAATGGGCCGTCCATGTAGTTACAGGAATCTTAAAAACACCACCCACGGAAGAAAAACCCACCATACACACACACAGACACGCGGAATCCACATTTCTAGTAAAAAACCCACATAGAAGAAAATTAGATTCCAATACTCCCTTTCCTCGGAATAACTTATCTCGGTAAATACTTTCCCCAATGCAGTCCTCTTCCTACATGCAACTCAAGACTTGTTGAATATCACCTCCGACACAAATCATATTCGCCATCATCTTGGTTTCAGAAGAAACAGAAAAACACCCAGGTTTCTCTGAGGGTGCTCCTGGTCCCTCCGCCTCGTGGAAGTAGAATTAAAATGTGAACACTGTAAGATTGACCAAAATAATCTTGTTTTCCTGAACTTGTTCCAATGAAGTTATCCGTGTGGCTGTCCAGCATGGCTCGGGGTTTCTTTGTATGCGCGCGCACACACACACACAGACACGCAAACACATACATGCATGGCACACAGCACCGGCCCAGGCTACCCACAGCCTGGGGAGTCGCTTGGCTACTGGAAGTGGGGTCCACAAACTTTTGTAGGTGCCACTCTAGGCAGATGTCCTAAAAGTGGAAGGGCCGGCGGGGGACCAGAGCAGGGGCTCGGTTTAAATGTGGGATGCGCCTTCCATATTCCATGTGGCATCGTGGGAGACCATTTCAAGATAGAAGAAAAAGGAACCACGTTATTTGAGGGAGGGTTTGCCTTCTAAAAATGTAACAACCTTTTATTTAAAAAACAAAACAAAACAGCAGCACAAAAAAAACAATTAGAGCCCTTACACAGAAAACCCCCAAACAAGTGCTTGAAGGGTGTGTGATATGTGTGTGTGTGTGTGTGTGTGTTGGGGGGGGGGGGGGGATCGAGATGGCTACTCCTCTGCGGACACGGTGGTGGCTTTTTGAAGGTAACTTTGAGATGTGTCACAAACTCCTGGCTCCCTTTCCCTGGCCAGGGTTCCCAAATGAGAAGACGCGGCCTGTGCAGGGCCCTCCCGTAAGTCAGACCTGGAGGAGGATTAGCTGTGTACTAATATTATTACAACACACTAAATCCTGTAACCCTCTTACAGAACCTACCCTCTGGGCAGCTTCTCCCCAACTTATTGTTCAGCCATGTGAGAACAGTCATCACCTAAAACCATTTACTGCCCAGGAGAAAGGGGGTGGGGAGAGGTGAGAAAGGGCCCCTCCGTTTACAGCTTCTTGGGACAATGAAGCAGCTTTGGGGGATAAAAAGAGAAAAGAAGAAAAAAAAGAAGAAAAGAAAAGGAAGGAAGAAAAAAGAAAAGAAAAGGAAGGAAGAAAAGAGAGAAAAAAAGAAAAGGAAACTTGATTCAGTTACTTAATTAACTTACCTCTAAGCTCAAATAAACTAAAAAAAAAGTCCTAATAAATAATAATGGGAAGAGGTAGTGAACCCCTTTTATGCCGTGGCTTTATGGGAAGCCTTCACTATTAAAAATTCAGGATTCCGAAAGGCAGCCGCCAGGCTAGCCCGGCTCTCCCCAAAGCCCGAGTGTAATTTCTTTTTATTTTTTTGGGAAATGTAGAAAACCTATACAGATTTACAAAAATAAAAAAAAAGACTAAAAACTCCCCCTTCTCCTCCGGTTGGCCTGCTGTTGCCTCTACACGTTGTCACTGTAACAGCAGGACAGCGGGGCAGACCGAGGGTCTCCCCAGAAACTTTAGGAAAGAGGAGTGTGGGGCCAGGACAGAGAAACCAGCTGAGAAAATCCGGGAAAATATTCGCAGCAGCAGCTGCGGCCTGGGGTCACTTCACCTCGACTGACCCCCCAGACCCGGCTTCCCAGGGGTGGAAAGCGGGGTTCGGGGACCCTTCTCGGGGGACTGAGGAACCCCAGAGACTCTGGGTGAGGTTTGCCGCTGGAGCGAGTACTGGGGTCGGGGGACGAATACAGCAAATCATTTTCTTGACCGGCCTCAGTGCTCCCCGGTTTCTTACAGGGCCCCCCACGCCAGGGGTGCTGGGTCCCGACTGCCAGGTGGGGTGCAGGGAGCGGAGTCCCCCAGCCTCTCGGCCTCCCGGCGCGGGTCCCTGCGCCCTGGCCCTCCCGAGGAGCAGGCCTCTGGGGAGGGACCCGGAGCCCGGAGCCCGGGCGGCCCAGAGTGTCGGGGACAGAGGTGCGATCGCAGGGCAGCTTCGGAGCCCCGTCGGGGTCAGGCTCCCGCCCGCACACCCCAAAATGCCCCCAGGGCGTGAGCATCCCGCCAGACGCCCGGTTCGTCCCGGAGCGACCCCTCGTCCGTCCCCGGCGCGCCCGGAGCTGAGCTGGCGCCGCTCCATCGCCTCGGGCGCGCGGCCTGGGAGCTGCGAGGCCCCGAAAGCGAAACACCTCCAGGGACGGGAAGCGACTCGGGGTGTCCTCCGTGCGTCCCCCCAGGGGCCTGCCCGATCGCGCCCCTCTCGGCTTCGGCTCCCGGACACAAACTTCGTCCGGGACTTGTCCTCCCCGCCGGCGCCCGCGGCGGCCGCCTCCATGCGGGAAGGCGAAGGCGGCGGCTCCGGGGGCCAGAGGAGACCTCGCGGCTCCTGGGAGGACGGGGGCCGGGGTGCTCGGGGGGCGCGCACCGAGTGGAGAGCTTCCCTGGGGTGGGGGTGCATGTGCGGGAGGGAAATGCGGGGATCCACGGGGGCAGCCGGACCCTGTCCTCTGGCCGCCCGCACTGTCCCGGGAGCGACCGGCAGCTCAGCGCCTCTTCGCCCCGCCGCGACCCCAGCGAGTCCGGCGCGGGCGCCCCGACACAGCACCCCATCTTCTAGCAGCTCTGAGCCCCCAAAGGCACCCCAGGAGGCGGCGCAGGCCCAGGTGGAGCGTGAGGGGCGGCGCGGGAGCTCCCAGCTCGGAGTTCAGCGCGGAGCACGAGTCAACTTTCTTCCCGCCGGCAGCAGGGCCCGGCGGCGGAGGCCTGGCCGGGGCCCCCGGGCGCCGCGCGGGGAGCGCAGGAGCCCCGCACGGCCGGCGCGTAGGGCCTCTGGCCGCCCTCGCGTCCCGCCGGACCCCCGGACCCCGGCCGCGAACCGGCGGGTCCCGGGCTCCGCTCCCCGGAAAAGCCGGGACGGAGGAGCCAGGCTGGCGCGCTCCCTCCTCCCCCGCCAGGACCCAGCAACTCCCGAAAGATCCCGCCGGGAGCAGTGTTTGCATTCCCCGGGGCGGCGGGAAGCCCGGCGACGGCAAATTGAAATTTAAAAGAAAAGAGAAAACGCCCGAGTCCGCCCGGGAGAGCGGGGCCGCGCGGCGGCGCCAGCTGCCGCAATGGGTGCGGGCCCGCCCCGTGTGCTTGACCCCGGTGTGCGTGAGTGTGAGTGAGTGCTGTGTGCGCGCGTGTGTCCCCGACCGGGCCGGAGATTTCCCATCTCGCCGGGGGACGAGCCACTCGGGGTCGGATTGGAAATGTTGAACTTCGCTTGCTTCCTCCGCGACATGCTGGCTCAAACATCAGCTGGGGCAGAATAAAAAATTACTAAAAAAAAATCTTCTCAAAATTACGGAAATCGAGC